CAATAAAATATGACATTCAGTGTCAATCCGATCCAATATCACAAAATGGCGACTGTTGTTCAATAACAATGGTTTGTTCATACGGATTTGCTAACTCGTTGTCCATAAAACCTAATTAAGCTCATTGGTGAAGAGCGATCATCAAATAATCAAATCAGATGCAAATTAAACGAAAAACCGATGATAGGAGATGTGTAGCGTTGCAAATTCAGCCCCATTAATGATTCATCCTCAGATGCAAATGTAAATGCATTTTATCTAAAACTTGGCAACAAAATTTATGAGATTCGGTATCGATTCGATCCAATATCATAAAATCGCGACTGTTTGTTCTAAAACAATGATTTCTTCATACAGATTTGCTACCTGGATGTCCATAAAACCTAATCAAGCTCATTGGTGAAGTGCGTTCATCAAATAATCAAATCCGATGCAAATTAAAAGAAAAACCGATTATAGGAGATGTGTAGCGTTGCAAATTCAACCGCATTAATGATTCATCCACAGAAGCAAATGGTGAGTAAATTAAGTCGGTAAAATTTCTCTACATTAGCAACAAAATTGATGAGATTCAGTGTCGATTCGATCCAATGTCACAAAAATGGTGATTGATTCTCCAATAACAATGATTTCTTCATACAGATTTGCCATCTGAATGTCGATAAACCTAATCAAATGAGCTACAAAATTAACAAAAAGAAGAAGATAAACAGGAGATGTATACCGTTGTTCTTGGCGATGAGGGAATGATTTGTGTGTAGAAGATGAGAGTGAGAAGCTGAAGATGAATATGATGAATTGAAAGTTAAATGTTGAAAATTATGATCACAATTTGATGATCGACTGGCGCCATTGTAAATTTTTTGGATGACTTTGAATCAAATTACCGAAAAGCTTTTGTAATTGAAAAAAAATTCGTCTGTCAGAAGTGGGATTTGAACCCACGCTCTCTTGCGAGAACCAGAACTTGAGTCTGGCGCCTTAGACCACTCGGCCATCCTGACTATTTGATACTAAATTTATGCATATATTTACTTATCCTTTGTTAAGTGTGATATCTAAATTAAGAAACAAACAATCCCCAAACCATCTAAAGTAATGTTTGGTAGTTGCTGAATAGTTTAGTGTATAATGATTAAGAGACTTTTATAATATAATGTAAAATAAAATACAATTATTTGGTAATTGTTTAGCTGAAATTAGGGCGCTGAATAGTTGATGAGAATACAAAATCATTCAGAAGATTTTAGAAACTTTAAGCAGCATATTTTTTTTTTGCCAAACAAGATTCAGAGTATGTCTCTTAATGAAACTATTAAGAGGTAAACAAACAACCTATAAGTTGGGTCCAGCCTTCCGAATACTTATTTCAGTAATTAATAAAGACACCGAACTTTTTAACCCAGGCCAACAAAGTTTTGGTATGAAAAATCGAAGCTTGAACAGACTTTTAAACCCTGACATAGTCCTGAAACCGAGCTTTCTAGTGTCAGGCTTTTAAACCTTGGCATGGCCCTGATCCCGGGCTTCCTAGTGTCAGGATTTTTTTAGCTTGTTCAAGCTTGACCGGGCTTTTAAACCTTGGCATGGACCTGGGTCCGGGCTTGGTACTATCGTCATTTTTCGGGGAGGTTTCAGACTCGGATTATTTATGCATCTCTACCACCCACCATCCACCGCTATAAAAGTTGAGTTTTCCTCCCCATAATGATTGTGGGACTAATTCTTATTTTAATTTTTCAAAATGCAATACCCCGACAACTAAACACTCTTGAAACATTTACTTCATGTTAAAATGTCAAAAAATAAATGCAACATTTTCTTACAAAGTAACAGGCATCGAGCATAAGGTAGAAGATCAACTGATACACATTAGGGTGTAACCAGTACTTTTCTTGTTACACATGAAAATCTTTAGGTTTATTGAGTAAAGGCACCCCTTACTAGAAAGAAAAAAAAAGGTAAATTGCATGAAAATGTAACGTACTTTAATTTAATTCCTATTTTGTGTAACGTAGTTTCAAAACTTCCATTTTGGTACCTAAGATGTAAAGTTATAAACATTTGAGTACCCGAGTAACCGTTTGAATCATTAATCGGTTATCAAACTCAATATTATTTGCTGACGTGGTTAGTGACACGAATTCTTTTTAATCTAAATTAGTCTTCAACCGGTTGTCCAGATACTTAAATGTATAAAATTTTACATCTTAGGTACCAAAATGAAAGTTTTGAAAATATGTTACTCAAAATATGAATCAAGTTAAAATACGTTATTTTTTCATGCAATTTACCCAAAAAAAATCCCCTTTCCTTCTTCAATATTTAGTTATGTTAGTCACTTAATTAGCTTTGAATCTTGTAGACAAACTCTTTGATTTCAAGGTGGTTCTATATTTAGGGCCCATTTGGTTTGTGATGTCTGGAATTAAAGTACAAGAATCAAATCTTACCAACATTGAATTTAGAAATCTTAAGGGTATAGTTGGTATTTCAGGAGCTTTTATATTATTTATTTGTAATAATGTTTTAAATTATATTAAAAACATTTGTTTTCTAATAATTAATTAATAAAAGACAATTTAATTATTTTTATAATTTAATTTTATAAATTATATATAAATAATGAAATTTTATTTCATTCCAAATCCTATAAACCAAACACACCATAGATTCCAAATCCTTCCTCGAAATCGAAATTCCTCAAAATCATTTCATCAAACCAAACGTCTCCATGAAATCTTCAAATACAACTTTGTTGTATAACTTGTATTTTGTTTTTCCCGTAGTTAGGGCCTCGTTGATAGGATTCATTCAGCAAAATTTCCTTCGTTATGTTCGACTTGAAGAGTACCTCCATACGATAATATAAATTTCCCTTTCGTCTTTCCCGATCTCCATATCCACAACAGAATGGCTTAAATTCGTTTGAGATTAGCCTTCATACGTCGTTCATCCTTTAAACCCACATGGTACTTCATTTTCCAAAGTTCCTCAGTTTTGGTAGGGTTCGAAATGGATGTCTTAACCTCGAGGGTCAGATCAATTGACAAATAAAGATAAGGTCTTTCCATGGGTCAGTTCCTTCCCATGGGTCGCCAGTTCTAGACTCCACAGGGCCATTGAGGATTTTTTTTGACAATTATCATAGACATCAATGGGATTAGTCGAGCTGTATGCAAGTTGACTCAAATATCTATGGTTAAAAAAAAGGATATTTTAGGGGTCGTTTACCAAACACTTACCCAGTGAGTGTTTATCAAGTTACATTATCTTACTTGATAAATATGGGAAGAACCAATAATCTTACCCGGTAAAAGCGAAGACAAGGACCTAAAGTCTTACCCGGTAAGTGAGGACGACGACTTTTACCACGATTAGCTCTTACCGGATAAATTATTATATACGATATCAGTTTTGTAGACTAAAATCTTACTCGATAAGTAAGTGATAGTATTAAATGTTGCCGATAAATTCTTACCCCGTTAAACGTTTGGTAAACGACTCCTTAGTATTTTGTGGCATTTTCTTCATGGAGAGGTTACATGGGTAAGATGGGGCTACCTTGACCCCAAATATGTTTAATATAAATACCAAGTACATCAAGGTTTCTCAAAGTTGCAAAAGGTAAGGGGTCGTTTATTAAATGTTTATCAGTAAGAGTCATCACTCTTGCTTACTTTAATGGGGAACATTTTCATCATACAAAATTGGTAAGCGTCTTCTCCCTCATTTACATGGTAAGATTCGTGGTCTTTATTATACCTCTTACTGGGTATAATTATTGGTCATTGTCATGGATCCGATAAGGTAACCGACACCCATTAAGTGCTTACCCAATATACGTTTGGTAAACCGTCCCTCAGGTCTTTCAACATGATCTTTCCAACTGTTATTGTCGAACAAACGAAAAAAATGTTGTCGTGTTGAGTAAAATGCATCAAAATTTAACAAAATTTGTCTTAGTTCTATTTTGTGTAACAAACATTTTTTTTTTCTCAACCCACATATAAGAAAGTTTCAAAATTTTCCAATTTAATGCAACATTTGATGACATGAATGTCAAATTTATAGTCCACTTTGCCATAAATAGACGGGTATCAAGGTCATCAAATGTTACAATATCAACAATTACCGGTCAACATAGGTGTAACGTAGCTTCAAAACTTCTATTTTGGTATCTAAAATGTAAAGTTATAAAAATTTGAGTATCCTAGTAACCGTTTGAAGCATTAACCAGTTATTATGCTGATGTGGCGAATGATATGATATCAAACTCAATATTATTTGCTGACGTGGTTAGAGACATGAATTTTTTTTAATCTAAAATTAGTCTTCAACCGGTTATCCAAGTACTAAAATATTTAAAACTTTACATTTTAGGTACCAAAATGAAAGTTTTGAAAGTACGTTAACCCAAATTGGTATCAAACATTTTTTTTCTCAATCCACATAAGAAAGTTTTAAATTTTCCTATTTAATTTAACAAAATACCAAAATTTCTCAATCAAAGTAACATAGTTTCAAAATTTTCCAATTTAATGTAACATTTGATAACATGAATGTCAAATTTATCATCCCCTTTGCCAAAAATAGACGGGTATCGAGGTCATCAAATGTTACAAGATCAGCACATTACCGGTCAACATGGGTGCAAAATAGAAACCTCGTTACGTTGGTTGACAAAAAAATTCCTTTGTTACACAATCCACAAATTAAGGGATCATTTACCAAACATTTACCGGCAAGAGTCAATCATCCTCGCTTACACTTACCTTATCAGGTAATATTATCCACCATCAAAATAGACCGTTAGAAACCGTCTCTTACCCAGTAAGCTAATGGGATAAGAGTCTTCACCCTCACTTACTGGGTAAGCTTCCGTTCCTTGCTATGTCTTTTCCAAATAATGTTCTCGGTACACCGGTAAAAAAAAGTGACACCCGGTAAGACTTATCGGGTAAGCATTTGACAAACGACCCTTAAAGACAAATTTCGTTGCGTTTTTCCCAAAATTAAACTAGGATTTATTGTCTTAAAAAATAAGAAGCAAGGCTGTTGTAACCCAGATATTATACAACAGTAATAAGTTAAAAGTCAACAGTAAATTTTTAAAGAGATCTTGTTAAAAAGGAGATGGTTTTTACCCACTAATGTTCTCTGCAGAATCATTCTCTTCATAATCTCCTCCTCTGATTTTTGCAATCTCATCTCTTGCTCTATCAAGTATCTCCCTCTTCTGTGATTCCAACTCTCTATGGAATTCCATTCTCATCTTCTCCAATTCCACCATCTGCTTTCTTTTGCCATTTTCAATCTTCTCATATATCTCACTGAACTTGTTAATGGAGTCTGCAAGCAATCTGAATGAACCTCCATTGATTCCATCCCCTTTTTCTTTTGACCTCTTTAATGGCAGAGGATCGGAATCGTCATCACCCTCCTGAGAATCCGTGTTTCCGGGGCTATCCCTCATTTCATCCAATCCATTTGCATGATTTAGATACACAGTTGGATTCATGAAAACATATTCGCCGGAATCGACTCCACAAGAAAGCCCTGCTTGTTGGATTGTTGATGACATTAACATATCCATTTTCTTGAAATATACCCATTTGGTAGTTTGATTCCTGCTGCTCCCTAACAAAGATTTCTCCTTTTTATACTTTTTTTTCAATGTATCTAAGCGGTTTCTACATTGGGTATCTGTTCTTTCGATCTTGGATTCCTGTGAAACCTTGTCTGCAACTTCTTGCCATTCTTCTGACCGAAGGCTTTTTCTTCCGCGTTGAACAAACCTTTCGCCCCAGGCCTCAAGGAGAACAAACGTCTCGTGTTCGCTCCAGTCTGTAAGAGTGTTTCTTCCACCAAAGGAGGGCTTAGTGGCTGAAGCGGCAGCCGGTGATGGTTGTAGTGGTTGTGGTGGTCGTGGTGGTGGTAAAGGCAGTCGAGGTGCGAATTCGAAACTAGATAACAAGCTCTTTAATTTCCGCTTCTTGGGATGCCTATGAAGGTTAAAATTGTCACTTCTACTATGGTTTTCACCATCATCATCTTCTTCCGTATCATCATCATCATCATCATCATCTCCATTCTGATGAATACCACCATTCATTTCATCATCACCACCATCAACTTCTTGTTCTTCTTCATCTTCTTCTAATTCTTCCTCGTCCTCATCAACATAATTATCGGCAATCTCCTGAGAATGAGGATGAGGTACATTACGAACAGAAGCTTTGGGTCGTTGGGTCGACCCGAAACCTTGATTCACACCGTAATTCGCCGGATACCTCGATTCCCCCTCAGTTTCATCCATCATGACGCACCAGATGAAAATTTAAGTCTCCAATTTCCAAAAGATCAAACCCAGCACTTGATTCTAAGAAAATATCATAATTTCTTCCATAAAATCCCCCAAATCATTCACAATTCTCCAACCTATCAAAAACACATATTTACAACAATCAAATTCAATCCCTAATTTCAAATTACAAGAGATAAACAATAATCTTCACTCGAAATAATTACACTTCCAGTTATAGTAACAAAAACGAAAAAATCTTGATGGAAATTAGTCTATTGATGCTAAATAATCAGAATCAGTAAACAATTACAACAATCAAATTCAGTCCCTAACTCCAAATTACAAGTGATAAACGACAATCTTCACTCGAAATAACCAAACTTCCAATTATAGTAACAAAAACGAAAAATTCTCGATGCTAAATAATCAAAATACCATTAATTTTCAGTTACTTGAAACAAAACAGAAAGGATTGTTTTTTACCTTTAGCATACGAATTTCCACGGAGAGATCTCGAATTCACGGCGATAAAGGATCATCAAAACCCTGATTAAGATGATTGAAACCCAACCTTCGTATCAAATAAATGAGATGAAACAGAAGGAATTCATACAGCTTTTAGATTGTGGTGAAAAAATTAGGGTTGGGATATACAAAAGAATGAGAGAAAGTGGACGGAGTGAATCGGGCATAGATTACCTGAAGATACCGTAGCAGAGATGCTGCTAAAATACGCCGAGAGTGCAGTGTTGTACCGGGGCCCCACCCGCATGATGTAGGACCTCCTACTATGGATGGTCCAGATTGGCCTTGACCCGGGACCAGTTGTAGCCAATTAAATGTATTTAACCCAAATTTGATTTTGTTATTTATAATTTAATTAAATGGCCATGTTTTAAAATAATTTAGGGGTCGTTTACCAAATGCTTATCCATAAACATTTATGTAAAATTCAACACTATCATTTATTTATCGGGTAATACTATAGTCCATTAAAACAGTATCGTATGTAACAATTTACCCGATAAGCACTTACCGTGATAAGAGTCGTCGCTCTCACTTACCAGGTAAGACTCTTGGTCATTATCTCCCTCTTACCTGGTAAGATTCTTAGTTCTTACCATATTCATCCAGTAAGATAATGTGACTTGGTGTTCACTTACCCGAGTAACCGTTTGGTAAACGGTCCCTTAATTTTACAATTTTTTTGCTATTTATACAACTTTTATTATACTCATTTCGTCACAAAATAAGTGTTTTTTATTTTTATTTTTATTTGTCTTAGATAACGTTTTTGTTTAAGAAATATCAACTATATTCTCAAATCTACTCTTAAATAGTAAGGAAAAGTACAAGAAAAACTTGACCAGCTTTTTCATTTTGAATGGTTTAGTCCTTAAAATTTTAATGAAAAAATCATTAAAATTGTTCATTTTGAATGATTAACGCACTTTTCAAAATTTAACTTGATTCTTATTTTGAGTAACGCACTTTCAAAACTTTTATTTTGGTACATAAGATGTAAAGTTTTAAGCATTTAAGTACTCGGATAACCGGTTGAATCATTAACCGATTATTATGCTGATGTGGTATCCGACTCAGTATTATTTGCCGACTTGGTTAGTAACATTGATTTTTTTTTTTAATCTAAAATTAGTATTCAACCGGTTACTCAGATACTTAAATGTTTAAAACCGTGCATATTATGTACCAAAATGGAAGTTTCAAAAGTACATTACCTAAAATAGGAATCCAGTTAAATTACATTACTTTTTCATGTAATTTCTCCATTATTAAAAATTCGGTCACCATACTAAAAGTTAGACGAAAGTTGAACGTGTAAAAAAACTCGAGCACATGAATTGTTGTATGTGAGCATGTACGTTTATAATGAAATCAAGCTTATCTGTGTTAGTTTTGTCCTAATTATTTGTACGACTTATTTTATTGAACGGTTGTTTCATGTCTTTCGCATGAACGTACATATCAAATTCACTTGGAGAAATGTCGTAAATCTATTCATAAAAAACATACATCTATTATTGTCGTTATTTATTAATCAGATGATACTTAACAAAATCACTCTCTCCAAAACAGATTTTTCTCAAGTTTATTGTTTTATCATCTTTGAAGTCTTGAAAATGTGCATTAGAGACTGATTGATAATTGCTGAATTGGGTGGTTGATTAAGTGTTCAGAATGATTAAGAGACTCTTATAATGCAGTGTAAAATGAAATATAATTGTTTGGTAATTATTCAAAATGAAATTATGGTGCTAGACGGTTAAGGGTGGTTCAAGATACAAATTCATTCAGAGAGTTTTAGAATCATTAAGAGATATTTTTTTTGTCAAACAAGATTCACCTCTTAACGATTCAGATACTGCCTCTTAATTGAATTATTAAGAGGTAAACAAATAACCCTAGTTGTCTTTGCAATTTGTGAAACATTGTATCAATATACAAAGAACACTTTATTTGTAAGAGTATAGAAACTAAAACCAAAAAAAGACGAATCTCCGTTATTTGTTATCCAGGTTCTCGTAACTATTTTTTTTAAATAGTTGTTGGAAGTAACGAAAATTTTATGTTATAAAATCAACGAAATTGTTGCAAACGATACCGTTTTTCTGGGCAAGTAACAATGTGTTCTCTAATTTGGCGAGAAAAGAAAACAGATAGATGGAAAAGAAACGAACGGAAGATCTTTTTTTAATTGTATTCTCGAAAAGGAAACAAATGAAAAGAAAGAACAATTGCTTTTCATGTTTTTGAACATGAGAGAAATGAAGGAAATATGTCATTTTTACAAATACACATTTAAAATATATCATTGATTGATTCAGATTTCAGACTTCATGACCACCTCTTATATATCAGAAGTAAAATCAAACATCAGACTTCACCATCTCTTAGAAAACAAACGTCACCTTCATTTTGCAATTTTGATAAACTTTTAAATGATTTTAATCTCTTCGATTTCCTTCTCTTTCCACCCACATTTTGAAGGAAACGTTTGGAGTAAAAATAGGAAAATAAACGAGGGAAAAGGGAGAGAAGTAAAAAAAAATCGGTATTCTATAAACTCATTTAGAAGAGAAATGAAGAGAAATGGATTTGATTCCTATTTGAGTAACATACTTTCGAAAACTTTCATTTTGGTACCTAAGATGTAAAATTTTAAACATTTAAGTACTCGAGTAACCGGTTGAAGTATAAATCAATTAACATGTTGACGTGGCGAGTGATGTGGTACCAGTTAATGTTTCATCAAATAATACTGAGACCCACATCACTCGTCACATCAAAATGGTAACCGGTTAATGCTTCAATCGGTTATTTGGGTACTTAAATGCTTAAAACTTTACATATTAGATATCAAAATGAAAGTTTTGAAAGTACGTTATCCAAAATCGGAATCAAGTTAAAATACGTTATTTTTTCATACAATTTGCAAATAATAATAAGTTTCTTCCATAACTTTCTTTTAAAATATAAGAGGAAACTTATTGTTATTTTCTTTCCGTTTCTTTTCCTTTTTATCCTAAAATAGTTTTTAGTCACTTTTCTCTTTTTTCCCCCCTCGTTTCCTTTTCTTTGTAAAAAGTCTCGAACCATAAAGGTAGTGTTTGATTGGTTTGAGCTTGGCTGCAAATTTCAAAAGTGTCTGAAGGTTCTAAGTTCAAATCCAAGGAGGAAAAACAAATCCATTATGGCCACAGAGGTTCAAATGCGGTGACTCCGGACCACCCACAAAGCAGGTGGTCGTCCTGAAATTAATCGGCTCGCATAGCGGGTTAAATATCCAGGTTAATAAGGAAAAGATCTCGAAAAAATAACGTAAGTTAAAGTTTTGGCTTTTACCAGTAAACAGTTATCGGATTAAATTTTGGATAAATATCGATAAATTTAATTGAAGATGTTGTAAATGAGTGGTAACGTCATCAACTATTTAAATGATTAGAACTTTGACTTCATTGAAATCACACGATAAATAAAACATGCTTAGCTTTGAAACAAAGACGATTCCTCGAAAAATTAATAGGAAACTTTATGGGAAAAAAGGGTAAATGTGGTAATTCATATATATCTTCCATAATTAAAAAAACGGAGAGCAATGAATTTAATAAACAAAAAGACAATCTTACCCTCAAACGAGATTTTTTTATTAACCTAGATATTAAATCGGTTATGCGAGCCGACTAATCTTAGGATGACCATTTGCTTTGCGGGTAGTCCAAAATCACTGCATTTGAACCTATGTAGCCACAAATGAATTTATATTTCTCATTGGACTTGAACCCGGGACCACCTGTTTTGCGGGTAGCCCAGAGTCATCAAATGGGAAAAAATTGAGCTTTTTAATAATCAATATGAATTTTCATTGAGTTTTATGTATTTATTTATGACCAAGTTTGATGTATGCTTAATTTCTTGGGTTGTGACATATTGGTTAAGCCCGAGGGTGATGTAGTGAAAAAATTCATCTACTATGTGTTTGAATCCAAGTGATGCCAAAGTCTTTGTGGCGATGGATGTTAGCTTATGAGGACTCCAGACGATTCATGGTCGCCAGGGACAAAGACATGCCTATTAAGCCTCGAACAGAGTCCCGTGCACAAGCACAACTTATCTTCCTAAGTATAATTTTTAATGAGGTACGAAATGTAAACCGGTTAAATTTTGAAGGACGCCCCGTGATATTAGAAAATAAAACAAACGTCAACCAAAAACCCGAAAAAACCCTCGAATCAACCAAAAAATCAAAACAGTTCTTCAAAGTCAACCAAGAAATCGAAAAAGTTCTTTAAAATCAACCCAAAAACTTATAAATACCTCAAAATGGTGGAATTCCGTTAAAAGAACATATGACAGACTAGTAAATGCTTGTAAGTTGTTCTGGAAGTTCACAATTACCTCATAAGAAGTTCGATGCATATTTTAAGATCGATTTGCATGATTCTATGAAATATTAAGAGGATGTTTGACAATTACTGAATGATTAAGTAGTCAGAATGATTAAAAAATTCTTATTATATAGTACAAAATGAAATATAACATAATTATTTACAACAAAATTAGGACGTTGAATGATTTAGAAGACCAAAATATAAAACCATTAAAAGAGTTTTAAACTAATAAGAAACAGAATTTTATTTAGGCCACAAAATTCACCTATACTTACACGCAAAGATTTCACCGGTTGTGCAAAAAAGGAATTAAAAACAATCGACCACAGTGGGAGTCGAACCCACGACCTTTTGATCCGAAGTCAAACACGCTAATCCACTGCGCTATGCGGTCCAATTGATGGAAACTGTTTCGAAATAAAGCTCTTAGACATATAATTATTTTATAAAAATTAAAATAAATTACATTATTACCCTATGCTTTGTTAAAAATTAGGATTTTAGTCCCTGTGTTACGTTTTTTTGTCCATTATACTTAAAGGTTGGATTTCATCCAAGGAAGAAAATAGTAATACATTCGAAACTATAGTGAAGAAAATAGTAATTTATAAACCACGGGGACAAAAATATAAATTATAGTAAATTCTGTTTTTTGTCCCTATGGTTAGTCAAAAATTATGATTTTCGTCCATCTGGTTTAAAAAATTGTGGTTTTCATCCCTATAGTTTGTAATTAATTGTTAATTTTGTTCTTATTATTTACAACTTATTGTTGTTTCAGTCGTTGTGGTTTACAATTTTTTACTATTTTGGTCTTTTAGGGGCCGTTTACCTCACCAGATGAATATGGTACATATCAAGATTCTTACCCGGTAAGAGCGAGACAAAGACCAAGAGTCTTACCTAGTAAGTGAGAGTAACGACTTTTACCACAGTAAGCACTTACCGTGTAAATTGTTACATGCGATGTCGTTTTGGTGGACTAAAATCTTACTCGGTAAGTAAATAATAGTGTTAAATTTTAACGGTAAGCACTTACCAGGTAAGTATTTGGTAAACGGCCCCTTACACTTTAAAGTAAGAATTAGTCTATGGACAAGAATAGCAATCAATTACAAACGATAGAGACGAAAATTGCAAAAAGGATGAAAAACAAAATTATTAACAAACCACCAGGGACAAAATCGTAATTTACTCTAAAAAATATTTCAATGATCAAGTGTGTGATGTTTAAATTTGTGGATAAATCTTTTTTTTTGGGAATCCTATATTGCTTAGACACGGTCTCATATCATTTCCACATGTTGGAATATTCATTTTCTTTTGCTATTTTTTGATACTAATCTACTAAAGTTCAACGTGCTTTTAGTCTGGAATGAATCTATATTTTTTTTTTCAAACGATGACATCATTTGATTATAAAAAAAAATTACAGATTTTTTTTTAAACAGTGATATTGTTTGACTATAAAAAACAAATATACAGAATTTTTTTCCAATCGGTGGCACCATTTGACTAAGAAAACGACACTAATACGATTCGAACTTAAGTCTGGTGTGGAATAAAAGCCTTGCAAACCAACTCTACCAAATAAAACTTGTTTTCATTATAGTTTCAAAATACATACAGTAGCATACAACAAATTAATACAGTTGCATTTTCACGAACCTAAATTTTTTTACCCTCCGTCGTCTATACCACGAAAGTAGGTATGTCCCTGCTTTAAATAGTTTTATAGGGGGTGATATGTTTTTTTTAAAAAGGGCTCGATGCTTTGAAGCATTGTTGCTATTTTAGAAAGCAATATGATCTGTTTTTACATATATTCACATGGTATCAATGCGATTAAAAGGATCGGAGACAGTGCAACACTTTGTCCATGTCCTGCCTCCTTTGGAATTAACGTATTGAAGTGCCATTTCAGATAGACATAGTCTCTTTCTCCTTTTATATACCGGGGAATAATCAGATGATGTTTCACATTTTACATCTCTTACAAATGGTTCAAAATAATGTTTACGATTATATCAAATATTTTGAAATAAAATTTATTTTTTATTGCAACATTTAACTAAATTTATACGATGTCTTATTATTGATCTAATGTTTTAATACCCTCAAATAATGAGACAATAAGAGAACTCAAATAACAGTTTGGTTGAAGCATGAACTGGTTACTTTGCTGATGTGACGAGTGATGTAGTATAAAACTCAGTATTATTTGCTGAAGCATTAACCAGATACCACATCACTCGGCACATCAACATGATAAACGGTTAATGATTCAATCGATTACCCAGATACTTAAATGTTTAAATTTTTTAACATTTTAAGTATCATAATGGAAGTTTTGAAAGTACTTTACCCAATATAGAAATCAAGTTAAAGTATATTATTTTTTTATGCAATTTTTCTTATTTCAATAAAAGATATTACTTTTATTTATTTAATTAAAAATAAAAAAATAATTAAACCATTTATGTTATATATTTGATTAATAAAAAAACCAACGGTTTAATAATTCATTAATTTAATTTAAAAACAATAAATATTCATAATTTGATTGTTGAATATATAAAATAACAGGCAATCGATTTGGTTGGTTTTGAAGTCGATTAGTCCCACACCGACAAGAAGACCAGCTCCAGGTTGCTTTATATGACAGAGCTCAGCAACAGCAATCGTCCCTTCGGGGACATCCGATAAAATTGGAACGATACAGAGAAGATTAGCATGGCCCCTGCGCAAGGATGACACGCACAAATCGAGAAATGGTCCAAATTTTTTTCCCTCCCATCGTCTTCGCCGAAACCCTAGCTTAATGATGGTGGACTGTGGAATCGGTTGAGGAGGTTATTACATTGTGGTTATTGAGCTTTTTTTATTTGATTTTGGTTGATCATCGCCTCCAATTAGGGCTCGAAATCAATGAGGGCAGCTGTGGCTGTATTTTGAGGAGGTAGTCATCAAAACTTCCGCTTTCAAATGATCTGTTGAATCTGTGTTTATATGTGCAGATATATGATAGTGTTTCGAACTTCAATCTCTTAGAGCTTTTTTTTTGGTTTTGATTGATTATCGCCTCCTTATGCTGAATTAGGGATCGAAATCAATGAAACACCAATGGGAGTAGCCCTGGGCGTTTTTTTAGAAGGTATTCATCAAAACTCTGGTTTTCAAATCATCTGATGAATCTGTGTGTATATGAAGCATTGAGCAGATGTATGATTGTTTTTAGAATTTCGATTTCTCTGTTTAAATCTGTGTACGTTTGCATTTCAATTAGAGCATTTTGAAAAACTTATCTGAATTAGATTGCAAATTATGGTTTTGCCAATTTTGTGAATCTGATCAATTTATTTGCCACTGGCCAAGGCTCAAATTATGATGTTTATGATGATTTGTGACAGAAAATATAGTAACAAGGATGATCCTAAGCAATGGTGATGATAACTGGTTGAATGCTATCAGAAGTCGTCATAGAAGATGTGGAAGCCATGATCAGCTTCATGTTGCTGTTGATTTCTTCCAACCATTATTGAAAGGTAAGGCTTTGTTTGTTGGCAGTTTAATGAGTTCAATGACTCTTTGGTAGTGGCTTAATGTTATAGAAAGTGGCTTATTCATAGTCCATAGAAGATCACTGGTTGAATACTGTCTGAAGCCCTCATAGAAGATGTGGAAGCCATGATCAGCTTGATCTTGATCTTGCTATTGATTTCTTCCAACCATTATTGACAAGTAAGGCTTTATTTGTTAGCAGTTAAATGAGTATAACAATACCTCACAGGGGGCGGGAGTTTAGGGACTCGTTAACTCCGATGCCTGACTATCCTGATGTTACCAGGATCAACTTTGATAGCATTTATAACATCCCTTGACAACAAAGCAACAGGCTGACCCAATAACCTTTAAATCAACTTAAAACCATGGTGTATTTTATTTGTAGCCCACAATTTTGAGCTTATAGGGACCCCACTAATTTTCTATCCATGTGAGACGGTTTTTTACGCCTACTGAAAGGCTGAAAACTTGGGGCCTATTTCTTAGAAGCTTAATGAGCTTAATGGGACTCGCAACTTATTTGGGAGCTATGCATGACTGGCGATAGGGGATAAATTGTATAGAAAATGGCTTATTCATTAAGCTTATAAGAGGGAGCTTCATGCAGAAAGCCAAGTTTTTTTAAACCTGTCACTCCCGATTAAAAAACATGTTCCTTCCCCCTATGAAAGAACCCTCCAAACAAAAACCTTCATAGAGGTTCCAACATGTATCAAGTAGAAAGGGTCCATATCTGGACGGGACAAAATTCATTGTCCCACTTTTGGCGCGACATGGGACATGACAAGAACTTCTTATTCCACATTTGGTGTGGGACAAAAAAGCTTTTTCTTGTTCCACCAAAATAGGTGGAACAAGATAACAAGATGGAATATGAACGAGACAAATTCTAAATTACTAATATGCCCTCATTTGATGTTTTTTGTACCTTCACATTGTTGTGCTATGAAGTTTGTGTTATTTTGTGGTTTCACAAGTGTCACGAAACATGTTGGTCTCATTTGAAATAAACCCCCGAGTGAAGGAGCCCAATGGCTAGCCTTCGTTTGCAGTTGGCCTTCAAGGTTATATCTTGGCATAAGTTGCTTGCTTTGTGTTGGATTCTAAGCCGTACCGCTAACCTTTATTGCAGATAAGTAGAGTTGGTGAAGTAGATGGGAGCTTCGACTCCGAGTATAACAAACGAAGCCACCCTTTGAGCTTCTTTGTATCGATCAAGATCTCGACAGATTTGAGTGCCGGGAATGTTTCCTAGAATGTTCGTATTTGGTCGCGTCACATGTAACGGTAAACCATAAAGCACAGACATAATGCAAAACGGTTCTTAGAGAACAATTTCAAGATTTGGGATTGGTGATTGAAGAAAGATGGAAGAATTACTGCAATTGCAAGGCCAACGGGGACCGAAACAAATAGAACACCCAAGAAAGATGATAAGCAGGCCAAGAAATCGAGTTTGTCAACTTTCCTAAGACGAAATGCACTTTGGTAATCAATTAGACCGATCACGACAGTGACGATGATTGCCGCCAATGTTAGATCCGGAGTGTATCGAAAGAGCGGCATCAAGAACAAGAGTGTCACGAGTACCCTTAAGGCCATTATGACGTTCGACATTGCTGTTTGTCCCCTGGCGTTTTCATTCACAGGTGATCGAGAAAACGACCCTGCCAAACCCAAAATGTAATCCATTTATGTCATATCTTTTCGTTGTTTTTTTTTTCCGGTGAAAATATGTGAAATCCCCAAATTGAATTACTTTCCAAAAGAGTCATTTGGGAGAAGAAATGGGGTTTCAGTCATATATTGCAGAGAAACCGTCTAAATGTAGCAGATGCGAGACTCTTTATCATACCCTCCTTAATGGAGGCTAAACGAGAAAAGATGTCCCATATGATAAACATCGAGTCTAATTGATAAGTCCAAATTTATACAAATATATGCTTAAAAGGGGTCAATTTAATTTAACTTCTAGAGACTATTTAAGTTGAAAATGTGTTGATTTTGTGTTATTTTTGTGGCCCAAACAGCAGCCCAAGTTTGCTGCCCACAACTGCAGCCCATGAAAAAAATAAAAAAAAGAAGAAGAAACAGCAGCAGCCCAAAGCTGCTGCCCAAAACCAGAAATCGGGAGAGAGAGACGTGAGCAGCAGCACAGACGTCAACACGACGTGGGTGCGAAGGAGCTGGTTCGTGGGGTTCAAAGCGGGAGCGAACGTGGGCAAAAGACGAGAGGATAAAGGAGCAGCAGG